ATAAATTTTTATTTATAAATAAATATTAAATTAATAAAATTATAATTAAAATATATTACATTCATATTAAATGTGTTTAACAAAATGTAAAACAAAAAATCAAGAAATTTTGATATGTCAATACGTTTTAAAAACTTGAAAATTCTTAACAAGATAATAAATTATTTTTATTATTAAAAAAAATAATATATTTTAAATATTTTATTAATTATTAATTATTTTAAATAATTAAACTAAATAAAATTAAGTGTGAACTTCACAAAATAATGGGTCGTGATTCCACACCCCAAAGACGACGGGAGCACAATTTCTGCATCGCACGTGTGGAACCTGTAAAAGCAGCATCAAAGCTTTACAAACCGAGGACCTGTGGGTCCCGTTGATCCGACCCGTTTTTGTCCGCATCTGCAGCGTTTCCTACTGTTCATCACGTCAGTAGCAATCCCAATTACCGAAACCAACCCACGTGCCTGAATTAATCATCACAGAGGGATAATCTCCCACGTGATTCCTTGTATCTTTGCGGGAATGACAGACTAATCCTTACCACCGTTAGATCAAGTCAATCATTCAACGACAACTTGAATCCAACGGCTCTCCAGAATTGCGACGCTGGTCTGGTAAACAGGACCAATTACAAACCCAATGTTTCGTCTTTCCAGCGATTCTAAAAAAACAAAAACATTGGTGCAATAATGAGTGCCCATGTTTCTGGTCCCATCTTCGTAATTGTGGTGTTTGCGAATTACAGGTTCGATACAAACAAGACTTGTTTGTAAACGAGCTTTGACTGGTCATACGCCTGAACTTCCTATCATATCCCACCACTTGCTTAATCCTTTTCTAACTCCCTCTTCTCAAATGATTTAAATATGACATCTTTACTTTATTTTTTTTTATTTTTATATGAGGAGTTAATTATTTAATATTATAAATATTTAAAATTTTAATATTAATTTAATTACATTTTTATTGATATTCTATATTTTGTTTTTATAAGAAAAAAAAGAGAGTAAAAAAAAGACATTTTAACACTAAAAACATCAATATATCTAATCTCAATTAAATGATAGAGTAAGATTCTTGTATTATTTATCTTATCTACAATCCCTTTTTATATCTTTGATTGAATATCAGGAAGTCTTTCTCATCCTTTTTTTTGGTAGGTTAACAACTAGATCTATTTTTTATTACTACCCAAATAATTTGAGATACTTACAAATAACATATTATATCACCTTTCAAATGATCTTAGGACTTAGGAGTTAAATATATGTAAAATCTCATTTAACTTCTTCCAATTAGAAGGAAGAATACGAATCTAATTTTTTTTTTAATGTAAGTATAAATATTACCAGATTAAACTAGGAACTCAGGTGCAAATTAAGTGAAATTAATTTTGATTACGTTCACCATTCACCCAATTTGGACACGGGCAGGAGAAGCACAAAAACGGTGCTGTCCTAATTTCTTTGGCGTGTTATGATTTAGTGTGAAAAGGAGAAAAAAAAGAAAAAAGAAAAAAAAGATAAGAGAAGAATCAGAGGAAGTGGCATTGCAAAAGCGTTTTCCATCTAGAAGTTCGCAACGACAAAGAAGCAACATCCTCGTGAAAGTTGCAGTCTCCTCCTCGTCCTCTGCTCTCCATCTCCCTTCCTGGCCTGTGAGCTCCGTCTCTATTACGCAACCCTCGACAAAATCCACAGATTGGGGGTGATAGAACCAGAGAGGGAAGAAGAGGAAAGTAGAGAGAGCAGGTGGGGGCGCTTCGTTTCGCAGCTGCAGAAAATGGCAGGGTCGTCCGGGAGATTACCGACCTGGAAGGAGAGGGAAAATAACAAGAGGCGAGAGAGGAGACGAAGGGCCATAGCTGCTAAGATTTACGCGGGTCTTAGATCTCAAGGTAACTATAAGCTCCCGAAGCATTGTGACAATAACGAGGTCTTGAAAGCTCTCTGTGCGGAGGCTGGTTGGCTGGTTGATGAAGATGGCACTACCTATCGCAAGGTCTGCATCCTTATTGCCTTTTTCCCTTTGACTTTTCCTGTTTGGATTGGTATTCATACAATTTAGTTCTTGATTTGGATTACTAGATCTGATTGCGTGCATTTTGCTTGTTCGTTAGTATTGGGTGATTGTCCTAGATCAGGTTTCCATCCCAGTCTTTTCTTCATCTTGTGATTGGACTCTTACGTAGTAATGTTTAATTCTTATTGCCGTCCTGATTGAATTCATCGGAGTTCTGGTTTATTGACTTTGAGTCTTTGATCTTGGAGGGTTGTATGAGAAAGGGATGTGGGAATTTTTTTCTGTTTAGTAGTTTCTGATTCCATATTCTTCTATCAACTTTTGAGGATTTGATGCATATTTATTTCTTGTATATAGATTTGGTCGCATTTAAATTATGAAAAACAGATCAATTTGCAATCCACATCTGTGGCTTATTTCATAAATATATATATATATATACACACACACACAAGTATTCAACTAAATGTTGTTCTGCTCATTTTGGAATTTAGGGATGCAAGCCACCTCCTAGTGAACTTGGAGTTGCCTCGGCAAACATCAGTGCATGTTCCTCTGTTCAACCTAGTCCTCAATCCTCTGCTTTTCCTAGTCCTATACCTTCTTACCATGGCAGCCCTGCATCATCCTCATTTCCAAGCCCAACTCGGCTTGATGGAAACCCCTCAACATATCTTCTTCCAATCCTTCACAATATTGCATCCATCCCTAATAATCTCCCTCGTCTTAGAATATCAAATAGTGCTCCTGTAACCCCACCCCTTTCTTCCCCAACGTCCAAGGGGCCTAAACGAAAGGCTGACTGGGAATCCCTTTCCAATGGTTCTCTCAAGTCATTTGTCCACCCACTTCTTGCTGCCTCTGCCCCTTCTAGCCCTACACGCAGGCGTCAACTTGCACCTGCCACAATACCAGAATGTGATGAATCCGATGCCTCTACTGTGGATTCTGGCCGTTGGGTCAGTTTTCAAACAATGGTACAAGCATCAGCATCAGCATCAGCTGCTCCTCCTTCACCTACTTTCAATCTTGTCAAGCCAGTTTTTCAACAAGGTTCTCAACAAAATGGTTTTGATGGACACGGGCCAGCGGTCCAGGGGACAGCAGCAAAGAGGGGGAGAGGATCAGAGTTTGAGTTTGGGAATGATAGGGTTAAACCTTGGGAGGGTGAGAGAATACATGAGATGGATGAATTAGAACTTACTCTAGGAAGCAGCAAGACCCGTGCATAACCATCCATTACTGGTGCTTGTTCTGCTTAGCAAGTTGAGTGGCATACCTTGGTTATCCTTATCCTTTTGACCTGTTACTTGGAGATCATGACTCTGTACTTGATTCGATGCGTCTTTCTTTCACATGTACAGCTTTCATTGTCAAGGAGTCATTGCAAGATCTTAGCAATATTGGATATAAGTTTTGATGGCCAAAGAGTGAAATTATTGGCAACTTTGTAGGCAGCAGCATGTGTGGCAATTCTGCTAGTAATGAAGAAAAATTGGAGGTGAGTTGTTTCGGGAATTGGTATATATTCTTCCCCCTTTTCAATTTCTAAGTTTATATTTTTGTTATAATTTCTTCATTATCATATCATAGGATTCTATTTCAATTTGTCACTAAGGTGGTTTCCCAGGCTTGTAATAGATAGATTGTGATCCTTTACAGTTTGCAGTAAAATATATATGCATCCTTTTAGGAACCACTCTAGAGAAAATATTCCTAGGAAGTTTGATTATTGCTTTATTCTTTGAAATCTTGCTGGCAAGCGATCTACATTTCCTTTCATTTCCATCATTAAGTCTATGCTGTTATTGGAGTCCAATTATAGTTCTTGGAGGGAAATTAAACTGAAGGATGAGATCTTTTGGCAATATTAGGGTGTTTTTGGCTTGAAAATTTTTTCCCCCATGTCTGTGAAAGTTGAGGGGTATTTAAATATTTTTGCACCTTAATACTACGATAAATAAAGGGTGATGTTGGCATGTTCAACCTCTATTTTTGTTGACAGAATTCCCTGTAAATAAACTTTTTTTCTCCCAGTTTTTGAAAGTAAAATGTTTTCCCTAACTTTTCTCAACATGGGACTAATTTGACAATTTTTTTATTATTAACTTCTTATTAATATTGGAAGGTTAATAACTCTAATAAAATCTCATTACAGAAATTATTTTCTTTTCATATAGAATTTTTTAACTTATTGTACAGCACTTTTCAAATCATTTTTTCTATGAAGTTGCCTTCAAACCAAACATGCCCTTGACAGTATGTTTAGATTAGGGATGTTTGGATTAGGGAAGTTGGAGGAGAAAGGAAGGAGAGTGACGGGGAGAGACCTTCTTCTTTTACTTGGATTGGATTAATAATTTTAATAGAGGGGAAGGGAGATGAAGGGAGATGAAACTTTCTCTTCTTTTCCGTTTCAATTCTTTCAATTTGTGAGGATTGTGATAAAGTACATCGATTCACTTATTTTTAAAAAATAA